CGAGCCCGGCCGGGGCTCCGCTCTCCCGGACCGGCCAGAGCGCCGGGGGGAGGGCGGCTGGAGCTGGAGCACCGTGCCGCCCCAAGCACAAGCTTGGTGGGCTGGTGCCTTGAGCCGGTCCTGTCCGACACAGATTTTGCCCATGGGTTTCACAGATATTTGCTGACAGTAGAGGAATGCTGAGACTTGGGAATTCTGGGTTAAATCTGAGTTTCTACAGGAGAGTGTGCTTCAGTGATTATAAACCCTTCTGCCCTGTCCCCATTCTGCTCCTAACCCCCCTCTGCCACCTCTCTTGTTCCCTTCCCCCTCTGTTTCTATCCACCCCAACCCCAGCTATTGTCTCATCCCCTTCCCACCCCACCCTGGCCCCTTCTGCACCTATCTTCTCCAACACTGGCTATTGCTCCTCTTTCTGCTCTTATTCACCATCCTGGCACCTGTCACTCCTCCCCATTGTTTCTATCCACCCTACTCCTCCCTCCCATTCGTGTTGTCCTCCTCATATATTTACAACATCCTGCACTGCTGCCTCCAACCCCCACCTCTGTATCTATTTCCCCCAAACATGGCTCCTGCCCACTCCCTTTCTGCTCCTATGTACCCCATCCTGACTCCTGACTCCCCGCCCCCGCTCATATCCACCCCACCCCAGCTGCTGCCTCCATATCCTTCCCCCCATTCCCATTCACCCCCTATCTCGGCTCCTGTCCACTCCACACCCATCCTTGGCCCCTGTCTTCCTTCTCCTCTCTATGTCTATTCATGCCACACCTACTCCTCAGTTCCTGCTCCAACTCTGCATCTAACCAGTCCCCTCCACCCTAACTACGTTCTACCCTTCTGCTCTGACCCACCACCCCTGGGTCTAACTTCCCCTTCCCCTCTGCTTCCCCACCACCACAATTCACCACCTGGCCGCTGCCCTCTTCCCCTCTGCTCTTATCCACATCTCCCCTAACAGCTCTTATGCTGCTTTCCCTCTGCCCCGCCCCTTCTCAAATTCCTGGCCCCTTTTCCCTCTATTCTCAACTCCCTGCATCCCAGTCGCACTGTTTCTTCCTTCTCCTCCTCTGGTCAGCAGCAGGAGCACTAACAACACAGGAGAGTCTCTCCCTGTTCTTAGATCTGGTGCCCAGTGCCACAGCAGTCTCCAGCTGCTGGGAGGAAGGAACTACTGTGGGGAAATCATGCTCAGTCCATGCAGCCCTGGGATGGAGCACATCAGTGAAGATGGAAGCTTCAGCAAATTTAGCTGCCAGACTCTAACAAGTTTCTATTGAGTGTGTGTGAAGGGAGATTTTCAGAATCATTCATCTTGGCCACATTTGGGCAGATATTTATGGAGATGGCAAAAAGCCCATTTCTGACACCAGTGTGACCCCCCTGCTAAATTTCAAGTCCCTACTCCAAAGCATGGAAGCCCTAGAGCTTCCCAATGAATAGGGTGTAGCATTTTTTTTGTACTATGGACAAAACAATACATGTTCCCCTAATCTCATTCTTGGAAATGGCTGACTCGTTTTAGCTGAAACTTAAAAATAAAAAAAATTAACCTGAGGCAGACATCTGGTATCAAAAATTTCAGCCTAATCAGTTAAAGTTTGGCAAAATGATAAACAGCTGAAAACAGGATTTTATATTACGGAAAGTATTAGGCAACCTTACTTATAGGCTTAGCTACCAGCTCTGCCTATAATACTCTACTTATTTTCAGGTAACCATGCACTGCTGAAGTCTGCAAATTCTTTCCCTGAGCAACTTCCTATCTTGTAGTACATTGGTGATGTTATATTCTGTGATGCCAACCTATGGAGTTCAGTTAAGTGTGCACTTTCTACAAAATACATGATTCTGTAAAGCTTTGAAACGTATTTACCTCTGGTGAAATATAATAGTATTATCTATTATACAAAACACCACATGTTTGCAAAAGGTATGGATTTAACTATAGGTTTTATTATTAAAGGACTGCTATAGTCACTATAATCAGATCAGTCACTATCAAAACCTGTTCACATACGTATCGACATTATAGATGTAAATTACGATAATTTACAATACCACCCTCTGGTGACAGCAATTGTTCCACTGCTGTGAATGTCTGATAATTCTGAAATATCCATTCTTTTCTTCTTTCTACATAACAACAAACAATTCACATATGGGAAACTAATAAAAATATAGGTTTTCTATACAGTATATGTGACGTTTTCTTTTGTTTAAATTGCCTCAAATAGCAAAAGAAACAATAGCATATTTCAATAAAGGGGTTTTAAGCATACATATATACATTTTATAAATAAATATTTGAATGATTCACGATGTATTTATATATGCTAAAAGCACATTTATGAAAGTAAGTGTGTCTCTCTTTGCCTATCTTTACAGTAACAGAATCTTCTAGCTTCCCGTTTGGTTTCTCCCTATACTGAGGATGCAAGACAAAACACAGATAACTCCTTGAACACAAAGATATACATAGTACTTTGAACTTGCAATCTTGTCAACTAGGGCTTGGTCTACACTAAACCCCCAAATCGAACTAAGGTACGCAACTTCAGCTACGTGAATAACGTAGCTGAAGTCGACGTACCTTACTTCGAACTTACCGCGGTCCAGACCCGGCAGGCAGGCTCCCCCGTCGACTCCGCGTACTCCTCGCGGCGAGCAGGATTACCGGAGTCGAAGGGGAGCACTTCTGAGTTCGATTTATCGCGTCCAGACAAGACGCGATAAATCGAACCCAGAAGTTCGATTGCCTGTCGCCGAACCAGCGCGGTAAGTATAGACAAGCCCTAGGTCTTTCAAGAGATTAAAAATTGACAGATATAAATAATAGAAGAAAATTTAGTAATCAAACCGCAATTAAGATTTGTATTACAAACAGCAAACTATAATATAGCATCATTAACTTCATGCTTTATAAAAAGCTTCACAATGTGCAAATATATTGCCTGCAAGATTGCTTTAACATAATAAAAAATGCTGCAGAAATTATGTAGCGTTTGATGTCAGATGATATGTGCACTTATACAGATGAATGGATGCAGCACAGAAGCTTTTATTAACCAGATGCATACATATCCTCATCTCTAATATCATCATGTATTTTACTTCAGAGTTTAAAGCTTTAAAGCAACATTGTAAGGTATGCAAGTTTAGAAGTGCAAGCATGCCCTTGTGTACAAGTTGTAAGTGTAGCTCACTTACATTGCTGATAGATTTATGCAAAGCTTCACCGAGACAGTGCCGCTATGAAGAAAAGATCACAGGAATAAAGGGAAACATTCAGAAATCAACTAAGTAAAAGAAAAAGGGATAAAGAAGGGAGAGTAAAACACAGAACATTAATTATAATTTGACCAGGGAAAAATAAGTTGAAAACTGTTTGGAAAAAAAATTAGACAGACAAAAAATTTTGCAATGACTTACTGCAAAATCACTGAACACAGAACACAAGGTAGCATACTCATGAGGTGAAAAACTGTTTCATTTCCTATCTCATATTTCAAATATCCAGGATATCCGTATCCCTTTCAGTGTAATATAATGTTCCTCTTATGTAACTGAACCATTTTTGCATTTAACAAATTGATGCATTTATCTGCTCTCAGCTTTAGCTAATGTACTTTAGAAAAGGCTATCAAGTATATACTGACTTTTTGCATTTATCGTCAATCAGAATTACACTTTGAACATTGCAGTCAGTGTTCATCTGTATGCATTTTTTTAGTTAGTAGCCTTATAATATCAAGAGGAAATTTCACAGTCTTATCTGTTTTAATACTGAGAACACATTTAGTCCTTAATAAAGTGATACTTCTATTAAAGCACAGTGGAATTTTTTGTTTTCTGAAATTTAAGGATTAAGAATCCTTACAAAAGAGACTGGTTTTCATGTAACAGTCCAGGGCAAAATTACTTACTGTATCACCACCTTACATCAATTACTAATGAAAAACTGCAGATATACATAAACATATACTGGTATGTAGATGCATTATATCAATATTATTTGATCATATATATCAGCTAATATATGTGCTCAATATGATAATCAAAAAATGAATGATGGGTATCTTCATAACTGGAAACTGTCTGATTCAGACTCCATTTGTCACTTATGTCATTCAAATAGATGGATTTCTCAATGACAACAGATTTTTTGGACCACCTTGACTGCCTTGATGTCTTCATTACAGAAATTTTGGACAATACTTTGACAGAACATAAAAAAAGAGGAAAAATATCTTTCCACAGCCTAAATCTACAAACAGGAAAAAGAGAAAGCCTCTTGTTGTTTTATTCAAATTGCAGGAAACACATTTCTGTACAGCAAACTACTATTTCTAGCAACAGTGAGAGGCAGCATGGTTCAGTGAATACGGCACCAGACTAGGGCTTAGGAGATCTAGGTTCTATCCTTAGCTCTGCTGTACAATTGTGGGCAAATCACTTCAGCTTTCTGGGCCTCCTCCCCTATCTTTTGTCTGTCTCGTCTGTTTAAGACTGTAAACTCCTAGGGGCAAGAACTGTGTCTTATTATGTGTCTGTTCAGTCCCTAGTACAGTTAGGCCCTAATTTTGATTGAGGCCTCTAAGCATTACTGTAATATGAATAATTAACAATATATTTCTGATACTTAGCTGAAAGTGATAAATTAGCAATGTCCTAAGAAATGGGAAAGAAATTCCAGGTAAAATTTCTTATTTGGCCTACAATCATGCTGGGTTCTGTCCCATGACTAAAAGCTTAAGGAGCAGCATTCAAGTACCAGTGAAGACACTATGGTAAGTTGACCTAAGCTACGTTGACTCCAGCTACGTTGAAGTAGCGTAACTTAGGTCGACTTACCCCAGTAGTGAAAAGAAAAGCCCTATGAGTCCTAATAGACATGGAGGAAGAAATCTCTTGTCCACTGATTTTTAATAAATCTTGAAATACTGGGGAAACCCCAAAAGACTGGAAGAGTGCTAATGTAATGCCAGTATTAAAAAGCAGGTACTTATAGGTCGGTTAGCCCGCTATCAATCCTTGGTAAAATAACTGAAGCCCATATCAGCTATTCCATAAATAAAGAATTAAAGGATGGGAATATAATTAATGCCTGTCAATATGGTTTTATGGAAAATAGGTCTCGGCAAACAAACCTGATTTCATTCTTTGAGGAGAAAACAAGCTTGGTTGATAAATATAACTGCATAGATGTAAAAGACTTTTATAAGGCATCCGACTTAGTGGTAATCTTAATTAGAATGTCATGTGGTACTATGCAGTATCAATAAAGCACACAAATGGATTTCAGACAGGGTAGGTGACAGATCTAAATATTAGTTATGGGGAAATCATCATTAACTAGGGGTTCATGTGGGATTCTGCAGGGATTGGTTCTCGGCCCATCATTATTCAACATTTTTAGCAATGATCCATAAGTAAATATAAACTCACTGCTGAGAAAATTAGAGGGTGACACAAATATTGGCAGAGTGATGAACAATGACAACAGAGCAGTCATACAGAGTGATCTGCATTGCTTGGTAAGCTGGGCCCATACAAACAAAGTACATTTTAAAACAGCCAAATGCAAGGTCCTACTGTGACGATTTGGGGGAACTGTCTGCACAAATTATGAATTCTGCATGAGATTATGAACTCTCTATATATACTTTAACAAGCTGCAAACTCCATTTAGAATGAGCAGTCCTGTGCCTTCTCTGCTGTCCTTTTACCTCCATGTTGTACTGAAATTCTAAGAAGTAGTGATACAGGGCTAACAAAAGATGGTTAACAACTCAGGAATGGTTCTCTAATCATATACAAACATCTTAGAGCATAGGCTGGCTCCCACCCAGGAGAACTGGTTTGTTAGGGGGAGATGGTCTGGCAACAAAGTCATCTGACAGAGGGACTGGATCATTATAAGACTGTATGAGCTACTCTACTTGGGGGTCTTCAACCATTTTCACCAGCTCAACCCGTCTTCTGCAGGAGCTGGATGAAGCATGGGGGAAAACCCTGCCTACCTGAACACACAGGGTCCCCAAGGATTCCCAAAGGAAGGATGAACTAGAGTGAAGTGCACTGGACAGTGTTTGCTGTTTTCTAAATGATCTATACCAGGGGCAGGTAAACTTTTTGGCCTGAGGGGCACATCGGGTTTCCAAAATTGTACGGAGGGCTGGTTAGGGGCGGCTGTGCCTCCCCAAACAGCCAGGCGTGGCCCGGCCCCCGCCCCACACCAGTGGCTGGCGGTGCTACAGCTGCACCACCCAGAGCACGAGGACAGGCAGCTGTGCCGCCTGGCTGGAGCCAGCCATGCCACCGCGCAGCACAGAGCACCGGGTCAGGCCGTGGCTCTGCAGCTGCGCTACCGCCCAGAGCATTGCACCGGTGGCGCAGTGAGCTGAGGCTGCGGGGGAGGAGGAACAGCGGCAGGGCTAGCCTCCCGGGCCAAGAGCTTGGGGGCCGGGCAAGGTCTTGCGGGCCGTAGTTTGCCCACCTCTGATCTATACTCTCTTGTGCTGTCTCTCAAGTAAAGGGTAACTGTGTTTTAGACTCCTGTGCAAAGGATGTCTGCGTGCCTCTGAAGAGTTAACTTGTGAACCTTCAGAGCTCACAAGGTGCAGTTCTGGGAAGGGTGTGCATACGTTATGGGGGAATCTGAGAGGTGAGGCAGTTGGATCATGAGGTCTCAGATCTCAAAAGGAGGAGTTAGAGGGGGGAGCTTCTGGACTCTGTAGGCATAAGGCACATGGAGATTCAGGGTTTGGATCCCCCTCACAACAGTCTGGTGAGTGTCCAAGAGAGAGGAGCTCGACCATATCTGTGACACAAGGAATGTAGGTCATACCTACAGAATGAGGAGCTATCCTGGAAAGTAGTGACTCTGAAAAGGATTTAGGTGTCATAGTGAACAATCAATTGACAATGAACTCCCAGTGAGAGACTGTGGTAAAAAAGGCTAATGCGATCCTTGGATGTATAAACAGGGGAGTAATGAGTAGGAGTATGGAGGTGATTTTACCACCTGTATACAGCTTTGACAAGATCAGTACTGAAACACTGCATTCAGTTTTGTCATCCACATTTTAAAAAGGATGTGGAAAAATTGGAGAGGGTGAAGAGAAAAGCCCTAAAAAGACTTGAGGGTTGGAAAAAATGCCTTACAGTGAGAGACTGAAGGAACTCAATCTGTTTAATTTATCAAAAAGAAGATTAATAAATGATTGAATTATGGTGTATAAGTACCTACATTGGGAGAAAGAAACAGTTACTTAAAGGGCTCTTTAACCTACCAGGAAAAGGGATAACAAGAACCAACCACTGGAAGTTAAAGCCAGACAAACTCAACTTAGAAATAAAGTACAAATGCTTTAACAAAGAGACCAAGCGATCTCGGGAAGTGATGGATTCTCCATCTTTTATGTCTTCAAATCAAAACTGGAGGTCTACAGACTTTAGTTAACCACAAGTTATTGGGTTCATTAGAGAGATAACTGGGTGAGTTCTATGGCTTATGTCATACAGGATGCCTTTTTAAGTTATCTAATGGTCCTTTCTAGCCTTAAAATCTATGAATATTTATGCTACAATCTCTTCTTTGTGGAAGTTGAAAAGTGACAGAAGCTAAAACAACATAACATAACATGCACCCTATACTGGAAAGAGAAAAGTCGACAAAAACACAGTTCTAATATTGTTTACTATATTTATTAGAGCTGGTCAAAATATTTTTGACAAAACATTTTTCCAATCGAAAAATTCCATTTTGTTGAAACCAAAATGTTTCACAGAAACACCAGATTCAATAGCAATTATGTCAGGAAGGATTCTTGGGTCTAGGATGGATTCTGTGACCCTGGTGGTTTTGGTACTAGCCTGTTGTTCGGGAGACCCAAGTCAAGTCCCTACTCTGAATCAGGCAGGCTTATCCCTCAGGTTACAGAGATAGAGTAACCTTCAGTTAGTTTTCTGCATATGCTCTCTCATGTTTTCATTTCAAAACCTCAAAATGTTTTGTGAAACAGCATTGTTTTCTTCCAGCCGGCTCTAACAGATACAAATTGTGGAAAAAATTGCAGATGACAATTATTTAGGTTAGTGAAGCCTTGAGAAGACTGTGAGAAACTTCAGAGATCGCTAACCAAGCTAGGTGAATGAGCAACACAACAGGAGATGAACTTCAATGTTAAATGCAAAGCAGAGGACATTGGAGGGAAAAATTTAAACTACTGATATACCTTACGGGATTC